TCATCAACCCGAAATCATGAATAAACAGAAGGAACTCAGCCTCAAATAGGCTTGAAGCTCTTAAACCAAAAAGAATACATATGTCTGAGTACAAACTCCTAGTGACTTTGTGACCAGGTAAATTCAGCACGTGGGCAACTAACATCGCAAGTATTTAAAGCTTACCAATAAACAATCCGAGTTTATAAGCCGCACGGGGCTTCCATTTAAAAGGTTTAAAATAATACCTGGCATTGCGTGATCGGATACTTAAAGCTCTGTGAACTTCATGCTTGATGGGATTGAGTACATACTTGGGATTATTTTAAACATTATTTTTAAGTTGCGATGTTAAAAACAAAAAGATCAAAGCAAATAAAACCATCATAAAGTCGTAAATGGCAAAAAGTTGTTCGTTACAAAACCCCAGAAGGCAGAAAGTCACAGGCATAACAGAAAAAGTGGGGACAAAACCACACTCCCTAGCGGATAATTAACCAAAATAGGAACAAGAGAAATAAAATCAACTGACCGAGTTGTCATTTTCGATGCCATTTTTATTGTGACCAAGAGGGTTTTCGAGATTCGGCTTAGGGGAGGGGTTCTTTTCCACCTCCTCGAGGTCTACAAGGCGACCATCCCGCACCACTTTAAAAAAATCCACCTCCGACAAATCCAAGCTGGGATGAAGGGACATCACCTGATCCTTGGCCCGGCAAAAAGAAGATCAACCTGGGACTTCTTGAGGGCCTCCTTGAGCTCGTTGTTGGTAGCTTTTTCCAACTTCAACCTTTCAGTAAGCTGAGAAAGGGAAGCCTTGCTCTTCGACTCCAGAGTTTCCTTCTGCTTCTTCTCCTCGACCAAGCTCTTTTCCAAACCAGATAGTTTCTTGGACTGAGTCTTCTGAGACTCTTTTAACTGAGTAATATCATATCTGAGCTTCAAATCAACTTTCTCATGCTCATCGCCAGATCCAAACAGACCACGAGCCAAAATTGTGTGCCTCATAAGGTAAGAACTGAGGTTCTGAGTCATCTTTTGTCGGCCTACAGTCTTAACCTTATTGACATCCTCTGTCGCATTGAGATGGTCATAGAGAAATCAGAGTCCGTTGAAACTGTTAGACCAGAATTTGAACTCCCCAGATGTATGACCTTCCCTTGTCTCTTTCATCAGTGAAGTTATCTCTAAGTCTGCCCGACAGACAATATTCCTCATGAGAGTCGTGAGCTTCTTCGAGGAACCCTGTTGAACCTCCTCTTAAATAGACGGAGCAGAATTTTGAGGCTCATCCATACTCGAGGTAGCTTTGGATCCAGGCATCTTCCTCCTTTTCAATGATCGGGTTTCTAGCCCTGCAAGGTCAGATTTGGCCACTGAAGGCTCACCAACTCCTTTCCGAGCAGCTCGAGCCTCCAACATCAACTTTTTTTACTCATCGACAGATATATCCGTCATTTTATCTGCAAAAATAAAAACACAAAAAGAGATGGTATGGGTACCCTCAAAAGTCAAATATGACTATTAGCTGAAGAGAAACTAATTACCAAGAAAATTTGGGATCTGTTTGGCAGTTAAAGGCAACAAATCTCTCACCATCATCATTCGTAAAGAGTCAAGTACGCTCAAAGCTTGGATTTTCGAGTCACTTAACTTGTCATAGTTAAAGCCAGAGATCGACAGTGGGTCCCTAGTCTAATAGTCAGGAAAATGTGGATGCATATCTAAAGCGTATAATACATGAGGGCACCTCGGTCCACACTTGACTCGTAGAAACTGGTGCTTAAAGCCCTTATAATTTTTGGTGTATGCTTGAAGGAAGCTTGGGGAATACCACTAATCTAAATCGAGGAACATTTTTCAACCCCTTTCACCTCAAAGAAAGAAAAGAACAGACCTATGGTGGGAGTAATATTCAGTGCCTCACAAATGGTGCCAAAAGCTTTTATAAGCCCTAGCTGTTATGGCGAAGTTGAGAAGGCACGATATTCACGATATTCAGTATATCTACCTCAAAAACTAAGAAAGGCAAGAAGATCTTGAAATCTTCCAATACCCTAACATAGAAATAGAAGAACTCGTCTTTATAACTCTTTGGGCATACTATGCATACCCGTTCTCCAGGGGAATAAGACTCCAAGATAACATCATCCCCATTCCCGATCGAAGAAATAACTATCGAAGACCAGATTTTGGCGATCTCTACATCATCAATGGAGCTATTTTTATAGCCCAATACTTCGAGGTTAAATGGGGCAGATTTCTCCATCAAGATTTCTGCAGAACTTGAGGAGGAAGAATTAGAGTCATAATCACTTAAAGAGGCGAAAGTGGCACCATAAACGTGTTTTGTGATTCGATCAAATTCCTCTTGACCTTAGACACCCTTAACCTTACGCATGCATTGGCCCCACAACTCTTTTCTCTCTTTGGCATTTTTAGGTTTTACAACATTTCCCTCATCATCGCACTCTCTTAAGATTACCATTCTCTAAGAATAAAAAGGGGAATGAGTAAAATAAAGCAGAAAAAAAAGAAGAAGAAAATACCTAAAAGTGATGTGCGCCTTGATCAAAATGCAAGCTTCTCTGGAGACAGATGTTGCTGAGATAGAAAAGAGGGGAATAAGGTTTAAATAGAGGCCAAATGAACAGTGTCGTTGGAAAAGAATAGTCACTAAAATAAATAAATCCCAATAAAAGCCATCATTGCGCTATGAGAGAAAAATTACCCAATGGGTGTGACTCTTTATTTCTTGACACGTAAACTAGGATGGAGTCAGGTTATGACCCGGCGTAAAACCTTAAATATATCTCGCGCTCTCCTTGATCGAGCATTTCATCCTGACGATATAATTCATATTCGGGGGGCTTATGTACATTTTGGAAAAATTTATCCTAGTCGGGTTATAAAGTCGTCCAGAGGCAAAAGTAAAAAGATATAAACGACTATATAGTAAAGGGAAGCTAGGTAGAAACCATACTCGGGTACCAACCCTGCTTGGCCGGGAATCAGGTAGTGACCTTACTCGGATACTAGTTACTTTGGACGTGTTCTCGGACGGGACCCGATGGTATAAAGTCGATTTGGAACTCGATCTTAGGCATAAAACATAACGGTTGTCGGTTGAATAATTGTATACGTCATGATAGCTTAAATACACTCATTTGTGACAGATGGCGATCGTTATGCTTGCCTTAAACACGAGAATGTGTAGAGACGCCTCTTCAACGAGGCTCTTAACATGTCATTTGAAGACTATATAAAGGAGCTCCTAACAAAGGGATAAGCAAGACATTCATCTTGGGTCAATACGCATCACTGTTGTAACACCCAAATCCCCAAAAATCATACAAACATCTACCCTTGTTGCAACTCTCCTTGTCCCTTCGAGGAAGTCACTCGTTTAGTATTTTTTTTACGCAAGAAAAAAATAAAGGCACACTTTTGTACTTAGAGAAAATATATTTAGTAAAAAAACTAATACTTGATGTTTCATAAAAATGTGTTATTGAAATTTGAGTAATTTGATCTTTTGATCAAACCTCCATGTCACACCTCTCAAATCCAACGTAGTCGTAATAGGATGTCAATTGCAAAGATGGCATAGCGATGCCATGTCGTACATGATTAGGGGCGGAAATAGGTTGGGTCGAACTAGATTTTACCAAGCTTAAATTTGGCCTGCCAAAAAAACTGAAGCCTAAACATGACCTACAATCTGTCATAGGTTTATTTTTAGGTATGAGTCTGGCTTTTTCTAAGGCCTAGTTAGTCTGTTAGCCTACATAAAAGCCTATTATTTTATACATGTATAAATAACCAATCCAAATAATATTTAAATAGACTGACAAACTAAAAAATCAATGATACTAAAAGTTTATTTGCATTGATTTATTTTAACTTATCTATTAACATAAGTTTTTTGAGATTATTTATTTAAAAGAACTTGTGAAAATAACTTATAACATTGCTCATAAGATATTTTCATCTTATTTTCATAAGCTCTCCAAGATAACCAAGTTTTATTAATGTATTTTGATTTAAAGTACAAAACATATCATAATGATAATAAAATAAAATATTCAAATTTATTTATATAGGTCGGCAAGTTTAAAAATTTTTTTTTATGGCTTGAGGCCTAAGCTTTTTAACTAAATAGACTTATAAAAAAGAGAATTTCTTAATGTACTATGTGTTTCTTAAACACCACCATGAAATTTCAAATATGCCCCCAAAACCGGAAGTGTATTTCTAAAACACACAAACATATAATTAAAAACAACTAAAACCAAAAATACATTTCCGATTTATAACTTTTCAGACTTGGTGAGGGTTAGGGTGCGCCCCGTTAAATGCATTTCTAGAGAGTATTTTCAAGTTTTCATAGGGTTTTAGTCACCCCCTATACACGATGACATTAACACAGGTTAACTTTCAAAACTCAAACTAAAATAGAATTCCGTTGATTGTCTACAAGCTACAACCTGTCTCAAACTTGGTTAAAAATTAAGGTCAAACCTAAAATATTTTTGCAAAGACTAAAGCATAAATAAATAATTTATGCTATGATTGATAATACTTACTACTCTTACATCAAGTAATTTTTGTAAGGACTATAATACATAGAAAATATAAAGTCTCCCGATATTACAATATTGATAACAATACAATCAACAAACAGTCGCAGAGGCTAATTTGTTTAGCTTTCCCTATGACCCAACTGATAAAATCTGTGGAGTAAAAATTTGTGCAGTTCAAGAAAAATAATCAAAGGTACAGGCTTAGATCAATGTTCTATCATGCTTTAGGTCAACTAACCAATCCACTATTATCTAACAACACAACTATTGGCAACATTGATTCGAACAACAGCTTGCATCCATTGTCATCATCGCCAACAAAACAAAGAGCCCGACACAAAATCAATTTGACAAGCTCATCACAATGTTCATTTTAATCCTTGTGTCCCCAAAGCAATTGTCACTAGTCTTAGTTCATCAAAATATTCACTTTAAACCTCAACTGTGATTCCAAAGCAGTCTCCTGTTGTTCATGACAGGAGGAGCTAATCCTGGAATGTCGCGAATGTCCTTGTTTCCTGGATGAACAAGCTGAAAATTTGAAAGATAAGGTTTATCAGTAAAAAATAAACACCAAGGTAGTGATAACATCTTGAATATACAGAGATAACGTCTTGAACATTGTTTTTCAAGGTAAAATGCAGCCAAGATGGTGATAGCATAAAGGAACCTGGCATTTATAATAACCATATTCATACACAATAAATTAAGAGATCTTGAACTTGACAGTTAGTTAACAGCACCAAATAGAACCCGAAATTCAAGTTAGAAAGTAAACTTCTCTTACCTTCACAATAATGATAGCAATTACTCCAATGACAATGAGGAAAAGCAATGCCATAATACACTTGTCAGTAGCAACCTATTACAAAAATGTCAGCTAGTTTATCAATGAATAATTCATATAGTTAGGAACTATAGTGAACAAAATGTGTGGATTATATAGAAATTGACCTGCCTACCGATTTCCTTGACCAACTTAGATGCTTTCTTTATAGAGAAATGGATAGAATCCAGCTCATTCACAACTCTGCTCATTTGTTCCGTCTAAAAAAGAAGAGATTACAGCCTTTAGTTCTCATTTTATTTTAGAATAAAAAAACTTGGATTATACTTCTAGGGCGCTGTTTATGCATAAGGTTCATACCTGAGCCTTAAGAGCTGCTGCAGTCTCGGTACCAACATTAACCGTGTCTTGAACAATCTATTCAAGCAGAAGGGTTCATGGAAATAAACTTTCTGTTAGCAAAGTTCCCTTCTTTTCCACAGGAAATAGACAACAGAATTTGTATATCCAGAATAATCAAATCAAACATTATTTTCTAGTTCTCTTTCACAATTTCCCCCTCTGTCCATCAAACTTCCAAAGGAGAGGGGACAGGGAGTTCAATTGAGGTTAAAGGTGAAATAAATATAAATGCACACATTTTCCACATATACTGAAGGAGGTGCATGGATAAATAACAATGAACTATGTTATGTAAAATCCTTACAGTCCTCTCTCAAAGAGAAACACTTGGGTTTCCTTTAAAAATAAAATATAGAAAAACATTCTGCCTCCACCCCCCTGATACTTTTTCATACTTATTTCACTGATTTCATGATTTGGCAATACCCCGGAGAGCAGACAGAGAGGGTGATGTGAAACTGTATAATTGAGCTCGTAAAAGAATAAACTTGATGTTGGGAAGGTGATGTTTCAGGAGCATAATCTTAGATTAATATGAACACAACAAACTTTAACCTATTCATGAATTTAAATGAGGAATATGTTGTGAAAGAGATAGGTAAATTGTCATAACATATTTATGGAATTAAAATGACGAGAATGTGCTAAATAAACAATAAACACAAACAATAAGGCACAACCAAGACAACAGTTTGGCAAAAAAGAAAGACCAGTATAGTGTTATTCAAGGTGTAAACCTTATATATTTTTAAGGTCAGACTTATCACTAACAATCAAACCGTGCTCTAAAAACCATATATATTTTTAAGGTCAGACTTATCACTAACAATCAAACTGTGCTCTAAAAACCATATATTTACTGAACCCACTGCTATTATCACGACAGAAAGTAAGAAAGCATAATATGTTAGCAATTTCACTCAAGGAAAAATAAAATACTATAGCACATTATAAAATCAGTAGCAGTCTATGTATTTGGAAGAAAAGTACAGTGATATTCAAGGTATAAACCAACCCTTTTTCCCCTCTCAATGGCTTGATCCGTGTCATCCATCATCCGATTCCCTTGATCCATTAGCTGTTCATTTGACATAGCTGTAATTCATTATAAATTATCCAAATTAACCAAAGTGGTAAACAGATTAAATCTTGTTTGGTCATGCAGTGAAAACCACAACACAACAGCTTGTATTTATTAAAACTACTTCTGACTTTTAGAGATCAACAGCCAAAAAGTTATAAGTGCTTTTAATTGACAGAAAAAACACAAATAAAACGCCCCCTTTGAACAATAGTGGAAACAGACTATTTTTTTGACTATTTTATTTTTTTTTACTTTTGTTTCATATTGAAGCCTTTTTACAAAATAAAAAATGATTTAAAAAAAGGATGAAGATCATAGAAGTGTGAGAAAGGAACTTAGACTATGAAGCATGCATGTTTTATTTCAAGTAATGTAACATGTCAAAGCACACCTAGACCATCTTCCAATATGAAATAATACAGAGGTGTGATAAGTTTTCTAATTTCTCACTTTCACTTAAACGATTAAGGACTCCACTCATACAGTCACATTTTTCTATCTATGCTTCCTCCTATATTGCATGAATATTTGCTTAACTTAGGGGATGTAACGATACAAATGCAAAATGAGTACAACCACAAATCATATAAATCAAGCATGAGAAAGAAGGTAGCAAAAGTACAGGCCTTGTCTAAAAACCGAGGAACTGGCAAATGTATTCATTGAATAAACATAAAGTATGTTCAATTAATAATGTCACGCCTAGTGAAATAAAATGATCATGGACTTCATTTGACCGCTGAAAACAAGTTGCGATGCATGAATAATAACTGATATGAAGAAGCCCGGATACTTACAGGAAGCTAGCAAGACATTTTCTTCTGTGTAACCTTCATTGGGCCCCTCAAAGAGTTCAATTTTCTTATGCTCAATATTTGTAGCATATCTGCATTGCAATAAAACACATGCACTCATTTATTGATGCTACCAAGGTACGCATTACACTGAAGCAAGAACAGAATGATACATTCCAAGGAAGCAAAATGATGTTCTCACTTACTGTTTCTTCAAAGCAACATATGAATTTAACTCTTTGATCTGCAACAAAAATGCAAATTCTTGTTAGTAACGAATTGAATGCCATAAGAAGTTACAGACAAGCAATAAACCTAAACATCTTACCATTGACTGCTTTTTCTCATTCAAATATTTGTTAGTTTCTCTGTCAAATCTAGACTCCAAAACTTTTACTTCTTTATCGAACTCTTTAATAAGCCTGAAAAAACAGATCCAACAACATATAAACTAGACGGTAAGCAAAGAGCCAAACCTCAGTTCTTAAATCAAGGTAATTCATGTTTTGTTCCACTTATGGAAGAGGCAAAATAGATTCTTGAGTAGAATTGATTTTGACCCATAATTGATTCTAACTTTAAGCTAGAATTTCGAAATTTTGTCTCTAAAATTGACTTTTAACTGTCTTCAAATCAATCACTTTCAGATGAATGTATCAAAACATGAATTATTTTTCATCCTACTCACTTTTATTCAAAATCAATTTAATATAATCAATTAACTCAAAACCAATTTATGTCCCCTCATAACCAAACCCCCAAATATCAAAATGCATTCAGATTTCTGATTCACTTTTTAACACATTTTCAACGCAGATCTGGAAATTGCAAAGAACAATCAACTCTAGCCAATAATAAAATGAACAACACGAAGCTCACATTGTCACATTTTTTCATCACGCAACATAAAAACCAAACACATCAATCGCAAAAGAAAGAGGAAAAGTACCCTTTACTCTCTCGCATTTTCTCCGTGAGCTCTTCCAATTGCCTGCTCTGCCTACTGGAATCCTTAATCTTCTCCAGTTTCTGAAATCCATTTCTGCGCAAAAACAACAACAACGACTCAAAAATACATAAAACAGCAATCTGAGGCCAAAAAAAAAAGACGAAGGATTTCAGATCCTTACGATAGAACGCGGAAATTGTCGGCGACGCGTCCGTCGATCTCCGCCAGATTCTCGCTGATCGCCGACAACTGATCCATTTTCAACGGCGGTGCAATGTACCTCAACCTTCAGATTCCGCACCAACGGCGAGATCTGAATGAGGATGATTAGGATCTGTTTGGATGAAGATTTTATAAAGCGGAAAAGCTTTTGAAAAGTGGGTTAGATTTTACGTTGCGCCCAAACAGCGTGCTTGTTTAGAGATTACTGTGCCGTTCGTTTACTTCCGAAGAATAAACATAACAACATTGGATCTAGTTGTGTTTCTTCCGCTGGTGAAACGTGATTGTTTTTTCAGAATTTTTTTATTAGTGTTTTGGGTTTTTAACGGATTTGGCCGTTTAATTTAAACCACTATAGGAGATGTGTGATGGTTTTGTTTTGTTTTTTGTTTTTGTTTAATATATATACGTCATTAAGTTGGATAATTTAGTATTATATAGGTGGATAACGGTCGGGTTGAGCATATTTGAGCTCAAAAATAACATCCGATTCAATTTGTAGTAGAATAAATTAGACTTATTTTTTACTATTTTTCAAATTGATTTTGATGAGTTGGGTCTAGCGAGAGCTACGAGTATTATTATTTTTAGATTTTTTGTTTGAGTAATATATATTTGTGAGATATATATTATTTGTTTATTTCAAATTTTAAAATAATATGTGAATAAATTTTTTCATTTTTAAATATTTAAATCACCACATTCTTATCTTACGTAGAATTATTTCTCACACTTGCGATATTCTCAATAATTTGATTTTCACAAAATCTAATTTATTTTTATATTAAATTATAAAATTTTAATATAAAAATATATCAAACATTTAAAAGTGTTATTATATTACTCGTATATATTTTACTTTTTCATTAAAAAAAATCTACTTTTAAATTCAATTTAAAAAAATTTATAGTTAAAATTCAAATTAATTATTTCAAAAAAAAGCTTAATTATAATTTTGGTCTCTTTATTAATTTTTTTTTTGGATTTTAGTCTTTCTATTTTAAAATTCATAATTTTAATTCCTTTATTTTATTTTTTATTTTTTGAGGATTTTAATCTTTTGTAAATTTGAAGTCAAATTTTAATGACATAGAGTTCACATTAATGACATGTTCAATATAAAACTTAAATAAAAATAACTTTTTTTAAAAAGTTTACAGTTTAATTGATATTGACACATCATCAATGTGAGCCGTATCATTAAAAATTATCTTCAAATTTACAAGAGATTAAAATTTTCAAAAAATTAAAATTTTAAAATTTTAAAATAGAGGCATCAAAATCTAAAAATAAATAAAATTACAATTAAACATTTAAAAAATAAGCTAAACCACATTGTAAAAATTCAAATTTTATATATCCAAATTTAATAAAAATCAAATCAAATGTAATAATTAAAATCTAATTAAAAGATTATAAAAAATAAAAATTTAATATTCTACCGCACCAACACTTTATAAAAATAAAATAAAAATATTTATTTGAATTGATTAGGTATTCACATATCTACTTAAATGAACCGATCCATTCCTTTAAGTTTATTTAAAATTATGATTTGAGCAAGTGAACCGTCAGCCCATTTTAACTTAACTTAATTTGATTTTTTTAATTAGTGTAAGTTGAAGTGATTTGTAATTTATTGTCTATCATTAATATTAATATGAGAAACTTTCTCTCCATCCTACACTCAAAAGAAAAATTCTTCCATTTTTTAAATTATCTTTAGAAATCAGAAATATATTTTTTCAATAAAATTATAATTAATCTTTAAAATATATTTCTAGAAATATCACATACATATTGGAAATTCACTAAATATCTATAATAAGCTTATGTCAATCTTAATGCTTAAGATTGATATTACCACACAATGACAATGAATTATGAGAAAGATAAGAAAAGAAATAAGACAATTATTTTCTACAGAGTTTCTCTCTGTCCACAAACTGTGAAAAACTTTGTTATTCACTTGCAACTACAAATTTTGTGAATAAAACTTAATTGACTTGATTACAAAATAGGGGTTACTCCCTCTATTTATAAATTTAGTTTGCACCCTAAGCCCAAAACTATAAAAGTCCAAAATACTTATTTTGGTACTAAATCAAATATATTATATTTTAGATCTAAATCAAATCTATTTAAATCTAAAACAAATCTAATATGTGTGCTCTTCGACACACCATAGTTTTGACACTGTGAATTACAATTTAACACATCACCTAACTCATTGTGTCTAAACTATCTATATTCATCATGGCTCTTAGTCTTTTGAATACTTCGACCTGCACTTCCTTCGTCATGATGTCTGCAATCTGATTCTCAGTTCTGCAGTGTTCCAAATTCATCTTCCCATCTGCTACCTGCTCTCGAAGAGAATGGAACATCATTTCGATGTGCTTGCTTCGACCATGTGTTATTGGGTTCTTCGCCAGATTGATAGTTGACATGTTGTCGATCTTCATGGTAATTGCTTCATGATCTTTCTTTGTTATCTCTTCGACCAAGTTCACCATCCAAGTTGCTTGACATGCACAAAGAGAAGCAGTTATGTATTCTACTTTGCATGATGATAATGCCACTACTGGTTCCTTTCTTGAACTCTAAGAAACTGGTGCACCACCTAACATAAACACATATCTTGCTGTTGATTTTTTATCTTTAGCATTACTACACTAACTCGAAACAGTGCATTCCACTAACTTGCATTCTTTTCCTTTATCAGCTGCAGGAAACAAAATATCATAGTCAAGAGTTCCTTTGAGACACCTTAGTATCCTCTTCACCGCTGTTAGATATGATACCTTTGGCTTCAGCATGAATCTACTTACCATACCTACACTATATGCTAAGTCAGGCCTTGTATGAGAAAGGTATCTCAATGATCCAATAAGTCTTTTATATTGGTTGGGTCGACATCATCTTCATCTTCATCTTTCGATAGTTGCAGTCTTGGTTCTGCAGGCGTTGAAGTTGAGTTGCATTCTTCCATCTCAAACCTCTTGAGAATTTCTCCTGCATATCTTCTTTGATGCATCATCAAACCTCTACTGGTCTTGTAGAATTCGATGCCAAGGAAATATGAAATCTCATCCAAATCAGACATTTCAAATTCCTTGCTAAGATCACCTTTGAATTCTTCGATCTCACTTTTGCAGCTACCTGTTATCAACAAATCATCTACATAGAGATATAGTATAAGCAATTCACTATTGCTTCTTCTTACATATACTTCATGTTCAATTGTGCATTTCACAAATTCCTTCTTCCTTAGGAAACTATCAATTTTCTTATTCCGAGCTCTTGGAGCTTGTTTCAATCCATACAGGGCTTCATGCAGCCTGTACACCTTTCTCTCTTTGTCATGTTTCACAAATTCAACTGGTTGTTTAACATAAACTTCTTTGTCTAAGGGTCCATTCAGGAATGCACACTTTACGTCCATCTGACATATGTGCCATCTGTTTATTTCTGCTAGACCAACAACCAACCTGATTATTTCGATCCTAACAACAAGTGAAAAAACTTCATCAAAGTTTATTCCTTCTTTCTATAGAAATCCTTTCGCCACAAGTCTTTCTTTGTGTCGAGTTACTTTCCCTTTCGAATTCATTTTCACTTGGTATACCCACTTGACATCAATTGCCTTCTTTCCTTGAGGCAATTCAACAAGTGACCAAGTGTTGTTGTCTTCGATAGACTTCACTTATTTGTTCATTGCTTTCACCCACTTCAAATCTTTCAATGCTTTAGTTGCATTGACAGGTTCGACATCTGCATAGAAAGCATAATGTACCAACTCACCTTCATTATCTATCACATCATCTTATGTAATTACACAATCTTGCAATCTTGCATGCATGCGTCTTGTTCTTTGAGGTCTGCTTATACTTGGTTGTTCTATAACTACTGGTTCCTCTTGTCGAACTTCTCTTTCGACTTGAGTTTCTGGTTCTTCAAGTAGGATTCCCACTTAATCTTTCTTGACATTTTCAGTCCAATCCCATTCTTTAAACTCATTTATGATCATGTTCCTATTGATCACAATTTGCTTCTTCATTGGGTCGAACAACTTGTAACCTCATATCAAATGATATCCAACTAGAATCATTTGACTTTACTTGCCATCAAGTTTTATTCTCAACTGATCTGACACATGTCTATGTGCAATAGATCCAAACACCTTCAGATAACTCAAGCTAGGCTTCACATCAGACCAACATTCTTCTGGAGTAATTCCTTATAGCTTCTTCGTAGGACATCTATTCAAAATGTATGTTGCAGTCGAAACAGCTTCACCCCAAAACTCTTTAGGTAAATTCTTGTCTTTCAACATACTTCTCACCATATTCATGATGGTTCGATTCTTCATTTCTGAAATTCCATTATGTTGTGGAGTATAGGGTGGCACCACCTCATGCACAATCCCTTCCTTTTCACATAACCTATCGAAGTCTTTCGACACATACTCTCCACCACCATCAGTTCTTAAAACTTTGAGTTTTCAACCACTTTGTCTTTCGACCATAGACTTAAACTTGGCAAATACCTCGATCACTTCACTTTTCTTCTTGATCAAGTAAGTCCACAACTTTCAACTGAAATCATCTATGAATGTAACAAAGTATTTGTTACCTCCCATTGAATCCACCTGGATTGGTCCACATACATCAGAGTATATGACTTCAAGAATGACCTTCGACCTGCTTCTTGCATCCTTGCTGAATCTATTCTTGTGCTGCTTTGCCTGCACATATTCCTTACATACCTCGTTTGGAATGTCAATTTCTGGAAATCCTGAAACCATATTTCTTCTCTTCAAATATGTGATGTCTCTGAAGTTGAGATGACCTAGTCGATAATGTCATATTTATTCATCTCTGCTAGCTGCAGTCGAAAGGCACTTGTGCTCCATCACATTTAGTTCAATCTTGAAGGTTCGATTATGGGACATAGGAGCCTTCAAGATTAATCTTCCATTTGAATCAACGAATCTCATCATCTTATCTTCAATTGATACTTTATAATTCTTTTCG